TGTAAGAGCTAGTTAGTAATAAGCCTGAGCTACTGGCCAAGCATTTATAAGTAATATCAAGCCTCTAAGCCATTTGGGAAACGGCTGGTGGATATTTGGGAGTTGCTGGTAGGACAGAAACTTCTGCTTACAGAGCCATCTCTCCAGCTCCTTATATGTTTCTTGATTAATAGAGAAGATGCCCACATTTTACAAAAAGGAAATTGTAAAAAGAAAAAATCAAAACAAGTAAGCTAAGGCATTTACAACTGGAGAACTGGATGTATTAGCTGAGCTAAAATTTTATTCTGTCACCTTTAAAAATGGATATTTTTAAAACTGTATCAGTAAAAGTTTCTTAAGAGTCACTAGAGAGCCAATACATGAATTTTACTGAAAAAATGACTCTTACTCTGTGTGTGTGTGTGTGTGTGTGTGTGTGTGTGTGTGTGTGTCTGTGTCTGTGTCTGTGTCTGTGTTTATGTAGATTTTGAGGATCCAACCCGGGTCCTTATGCTTACAACTCAAACATAGATGTGAATTATTATCTCCTCGGCATTCTTATTCCTTTCTACTCCTATCTTCAATTTATTTGAGTTGGTTTAAGGGGGTGGAGGAGTCAGAATGAGTTGAAAGTGTAAGGATCATAACTTTAAGCAAGATAAAGAATTTGGGGGGAGAAAAACACAAGTTATATCCTGTTATTAATGGAACATCCAAGGTCTAATTAAACATTTAAATATTTTAGTCTACATGAATGAGACAGTGGTAGTTTTGAAGTTGATACTGTTATACAATATAATTGACTATAGCTAATAACAACCTGAAGGAACTCTTAAAAATCCCTGAGAATGGATGGTAAGTGTTCTCACCCCCTCCAAAAAAAAAAAAAAAAAGTCCCCTAAGCATATCAGGTACATATTCATTTCGGCGTTCTACAATGTATACCTATTTCAAAGCACTTTGTTGTCATGATAAATATATGTAATTGTAATTTAAAAGTTAACATTTTTACACAATAGCAACAGAATTTTAAAAGTTCACCACAGTTCTCATTACAATTATTCAAGAACATTTTTATTTTCTAACAAAAGAAGTACTTAGACACAAAGTAATGATGAGATGGAAACTAATTACCCTGATTTGATCAGTACATGTTGCATTCCTGTATTGAAATATCATGCTTTAATCCATGAATATGTACAAATATTTCATGTTAACTAACCAAAGATACTTGTTAGGAGAAAAGGAAATGTCAACTACCCTGATTAATCATTAAACAATGTATACATGAATCAAGTTGTTATGGTTCTTTCCTAGAAATTTGATCAACTAAAAGAAATTCTCTGCAATAGCTAGATCTCTTTTAAAAGTAAGCATTGCTAGTAAAAACAGGCAGGGTTTTAAGTTTTGTTTTTAAAGTAGGAGACAAGAAATGTAGCCTCAAAGTAGCACTTCATAATGAAATGCCAGTCTTTTGTGCACTAATTTCCAAGATTCTACAAGGAAACAAGACAGCGGACCACAGAAGGAACAGAAGCTCAAGGTTCCAAAGTGGGACTGAAAACTATCATGGGGCTAAGGAAAAGTAAAATGTAGGGTTTAAATAAATGTACGCTGGAGTAATCCACATAACAATTGACATCCAGTTTGCCTTGACCAGCATTTGTGGACACGGGGATTGTGATGGCTTGTGTCCATGTTTACGTGCCTTCCAAAGATACCTAGCTATACAGAGGACTGAAGGACTCTGGGGCTGCACTGGACGATGTCTTCTGTGCTGGCCCCTGGATTTCCTTTGAGCTTTTTTTTTCATCATTACTTTATGCAGAAGTTTGTCTTTGTGTTGGTAGAAGGGAAAGGAAAAACACAGGAAACCAGCCTTTCGTTTCTAAATTAAAACTCTGCTATGCTGATTGCCCAAGTGGCTTCAGCGGCAAAACAAGTGTGGACATTAAAATTCCTTGTTTCTATAGACCACGAACTGGGCCCACCACACCACCACCACCTTTTTTGTTGTTGTTGTTTTGTTTTGTTTTAATTCTCAGTAGTAAATGGAGCAGTTTTCAGTTTATCTTACAGATACCTTAAATCAGTGGTTCCCAACCTGTGGGCCAAGACCCCTCCGGGGCAAGCAACTCTTTTTGGAGGGGCGGCCTAACACCATCAGAAAACACAGATATTTACATTATGATTTGTAACAGTAGCAAAATTACAGTTATGAAGTAACAACCAAAATAATTTTATGGTTAGGGGGTCAACAGCAACATGAGGAACTGTATTAAAGGGTTGCAGCATGAGGAAGGTTGAGAACCACTGCCTTAAACGGTCTCCGGGTTTTGTTTTGTTTGTTGTTTCCCAGTTCCATCGGCATTTAGAGAAGATAACAGAAGACGAAAAGCAAAAATGCAGGCAAAGGATGCGATGAGGGGTCTATTGTCATTTCTGAACCTGGAGGAGTTGAGTCCTCAGCCTTCCACATTTTTCTTGACTGCGAACCCAAGGTTAAACACACCGAAGTCCCGCCCTTTTCACACTGCCCCATGCTGCCTCTACCGTTACATGGGGGAACTGCAGGGAAAGGGTAGAGGAGAGAAGGCTGAGTTAGGTAAGTAAGGTTAACTACCTGCGTCCAGCTGCTTGAAGTTTTGTTTTAACTAAAAAGAAAAGAGAAGAAAAAAAATCAATTTTTTTTTAGCACTCTTGTTCTAAAACGAGGGAGCTAAGTAGCCGCCGCTGAGTACCTACGAAGCTCAAGAACCCCTCTGGAGAACGTAGCTCCATCTCCCCTCCCCCGTCTCGTTGCGCTGGAGGGAAGGGACTGTCGGCCTGAAACATTTCCTGAGCCGGTTCTTTTACACCACACCTTCTCATCTGGGTCTGGGAGGGTTTCTGTCTGCCCTTTCTCCCAAGTTACCACTGGCAACCTCAGGTGGCCAGGAACGACAGCACTCTCATGCTCGCACACGTCCACAGGACCATCCCTGCCACCCCCTTCGTAGCTCCACACAGTAGGAAGACCCTCGAGGACAGTTGGGGGGACGTGCCTTTGAGGGCGCTGGTGGATAGCTATAGAAAGCGAGGAGCAAATCGAGAGGAGAGTATCTGCTGCCCTCGAGGCGGCGCTTGTGCGAACCCCGCACGCGTCTGCCGCTGCCCCGTCCCGGCGACAACTGGCGGAGTCCCCACCGGGACCGCGATGCTGCGGGTGGGTAAAGGCAGCGCTGCGGGCCGGGAGGGCGGCGCAGAGGGCGGCGCTGCCGGCGTGAAAGGCGCCTTTGTGCAAGCCCGGGTGTAGGACCCGGGGAGAGGAGAGAGCCGACCGAAACCTGGAATCAGCGGGCAGAGGCGTCCCACACTCCCAGCCGTCGGGTCTCCAGCAGGACAGCCGGGGAGCGCGGTGGAGCGCGCGCACGGGGCCCTGCAGAGATTGTCCGAGGCGGTGGCCCGGGGGCCGGGAGTGGGAAGCAAGCAGTTGCGAGGAAGTTGGGGAGAGGGACTTGTCTCCCCGCCCTCGCCCCCTAGGTGGCAGGGGCCCCCGCTTGGCTCCGGGGTGCCACCGCTGCCCCGGAGCTCGCTCCGGAACCGGCATCTGGAGAGCGGCCCCCGGGTGGAGCCGCCCGCCTGCCGCCCACCTGGGGCAGAGTGGCGGGCGCGGCGAGGCCTCCCTTCTGCGCCCCGGCCGCGTGGCTTGCGGCTTATTTTCCCAGCTGGCAAGCGTCGCGCTGCAGACAAGGGAATGCCTGTGGTGAGTTGTTTATTTTGTTGAAGTTTGCGGTGGGCCAGGAGGACGTGGGGGGCGAGCGGCAGGCAGCGGCCGGGACTGTTTTGTTTAGGTCTCCGTCCACCTGTGTGGTATAAATCTGCCAGGCTCGGGGCGGTGGGGCCCAGGGTGAGGAAGCCCCAGCGTTCCAAAAGCTCCTGGCCACGTTTAATTCGCAATGCCTGGAACTGACTACAGTTTAACGGAGGCTGTCCCCGACCCCCAGCTTTCCATGGACGCTTCCCTAGGGACAGTCGTCGCCCATGACCCGGGGACAGCTGGCCACTGAAGTTTTCACAGCTTTCCTTCCCTGTTCCTTGAGAGCAATGGAGCTGGGGGGGGGGGGGGGGTTGATGAGAAAGGGGCCCAAGAAAAGAGGGAAAACTTGTCTGGGGTTTGGGGGGTGTGAAGTTCGTTCAGGGGTGTCGGATCGCCCTGTTTCTACAAACTGGGGTCCTGGGTTGGCCAGTTTCCCAGGCTAGGCTGGTGAAAGGCTAGAGGCTGGCTCCTGAGGGAGCCCATTGGAACCCCTGGGGCTGATGTTAGTCACAGCCTCGGCTTCGTTTGCCTGGAAGAAGAGCCTAAATACATTAGCGAGAGGGTAAAGCTTTTAAGGCCTTCTTGGGAGTGAGTGGCTGGCTAATGAGAGGTTAATTTTGTTTCGAAGGGAAGGCTGCGCTGGTTTCCTGAGATAAATGGACAGGAAGCGCATTACCTCCAAGCACTGGCAAGCGGCTCCCAAATGCTTTTTGCACCTGCTGCTTCTAGCCTTGCGAGCCAGAGGCGAGCCGCACTGGAGTCTGTAGGGATCAAGGGGCCCCGGCTGTAAGCGCGGGTTATGAACCTCCAGCGCTATCTGCGGTCTCTCTCTCCTGGGGCTCAGCGCTCACACGGAACCCTGGGGCTCTTCTCTTACACCTAGGTCCTGCGTGTTCCGGAGCTCGGGGGCATCCTGATCCCGTTGAGCCCCTTCCAGGTGCGGAAGGGTTAAGAATGATGTAAGTACAAGCCAGGAGCTACATGCCTTGGGGCTCCTGGACTCTGGGCTATTCCAGCCCCTGATTTTCAAACACTGTGGAGCAGCGAGCAGCAGGGGAGCCCTTATTCCAGAATGGGTTCCACAAATCTCTTACTGAAGGCTTCTCGGTCCTAGGTGAGCTGTTAAGTACAGATCCTCATGTTAGGTTTCTGGATGTGGAGATACAGTACCTGGGGAACAGTTGAGGCACTATATAAGGGTTCAGGAAATGAAACTGAATCATGTTTAAAATCTATTATCGTTTCTGGCATCCCATTTGTATGTCCATGGCGTGGTATGCTTTGCTGGCTCTTCTGGATGTACTGTTCTGGTCTCATAATTCCTTCTTGAAAACAAAGGAAGAGAGAAAGAACGTAAGTGGTAAGCCCCAGGGTGGATTTTGGGGTTGCTCAAGTTGCCAATCGATTCATTTTTTTCTAATTAAAATGTAAAACTTTTATAATCATCAATTTTGTTCTAGCTTCCTCCCTGGGTTTTTCTTTGTACAGTCCCAAATTCTACTTAAACTTGACACACACGAGCTTGAAAAGTGGCTGCCTTATAAATCATCATCCAACATGCCCTTGATTTCCAAGCTGATTTCAAATCTTGCTAAGCGTCCAGATTCACCCCCAGAGTGTGTCAAACGACCTAATGTCATAAAAACAGGACCCACCTTGTGATTTAATTGTAAAAAAAGAAAAGAAAAGAAAGCATTTTCCTATAGCAGCTGAACACTTACGCAGTAATAAAAAGTGAATTGTTAGGCATACATGTCTTAAGCTTGTCAAATTTTACAACAGAGGAGCAATAAAACACCTTAGAGATGAATTTTTTCCTCTGAACAGTTTTTTCTTGACATGAGGATTCTCAGCAACTCAAGGGTGCCCTCTACTGATAAGAATATCTAAAGCCCCATGTATTTAAAATAACATGATAGTGCCTAGTGAAGTCATCAGCAGAAAGACCCAAACCAAATTGAATGTATTGATCTTTAACTTTTTGGTTATATGAAGTCTGATAACAACATAAGTTACCTTATAGGATATAATTAAAAACTGAGGTAAGAAAACTACATTTTGCTGTTAGTCATCTAGCTAAAAGCACTTAAAAATCTCTATGCGTAAGAATGTTTTGCCTGCATGTATGTCTGTACACCATGTGTGTGTCTGATGCCCATGAAGGTGAAGGGAATTTGGATCCCCTGGAACTGAAGTTACAGACTGTTGTGAGCTGCCAGTAGTCACTGAGAACTATATGCAGGTCCTCTGGAAGGAACCAATGAACTATCTCTCCAGCCCCAAGCTAAAAGGACTTTTAACAAGAGAGTCATGTGATCACTCTTTAAAAGATATTAATTAGTATTTTCTAAACTGTATTTCATGGATTATATGTAGTAACTGCAAGATGATAAAAATTTTTGCTCTGATAACATTTAGTATACACCCTTATGTAAAATTGTCAGATACATTCCACCCCTCCCCCCATGAAAAGTCATTTCTCCAGGCAACTCTGGAGCTATTATTAAGCATATTAAAGATAGACATAAGGCTTGGATTATATCTTGGGTAGCGAAAGGTGTGTTTACCACTTGAGTCATCACAGCATGTAATAAGTAATGAAAAATTACAGTAAAAACAGATAGGTCTCCTTCATTAGGGACCTAGTGGTTTGAAGAATTCACAATGTGTCTAATGAGTGAGATAGTGAGACCTAAGGCTTGCCCCCCCCCCAATTATCCTGGTCCATTGATTAGCACATTGTAAACATGTGGAATATTAATGTGTCTGTGGTTGATAGGAGATTCCTAATTAGAGATTCTGAGTAATGTAGCAGGTAAAGTTGCAAACTGTAATTTAGATTGCAGTAAGTGCATTTTAAATGGCAATCCTAAACAGTTTGTGGAATGGCCAGGGGAGGTAATGTGGCTCCTAGCACTGACGCCATTCTCCAAAGGACATACCACTTCACACTAACTGATAACAAATTAGTGCCTGTCCTCAACGCCACAAGTGCTTTCCTAACCCTTGGCGACTGTTTGTGAGGTTTGCCCTTGGTTTGGGAGGACACTCAAGTAGAAACAGACCTACCATTGGATTAATTTAATAGGCTGAATATTTGTGGAAAAGCCACTGAGCAACAAGAAATCGTGGCAATAATTACACTGCATAAAAACTCACCACTCTCATTACTCTAATTACCTTGTAACCGAACACGTTGAAGTTCGCCCAATCCCTGACTCCCGCTCTCAGCTTTGAAGCAGGGAAAATGTCAAAGAAACCAAAACACCAGAGCCTCCTACAGCTGCCAGCGAATTCCGCCGGGAGCTCGCAGGTCCTTTCTCATTCCATCCATCTGCTACGGACCTCGGGTGTCATTTGAGTGCCTAGGGCGGCTCGGCTGGACTCTTCTTTTACCTAGAGACCCCGACAAGTTATATACGAGGTCCTGCAGATGTGATTGGCTGAATGTGTTGGGGGGAACCTGCTATACGGAGCTCGGGGAAAGTGCTGGCTTCCTGCAAGCCGCTGGCCAGCCGGGCCGGGAAGGAGGAGGAGGGGTGGTGGTCATTAAAAAACCAACAACGAACAAAAAAAACTAGGAGGAAGCTGAACCTGAGCTCATTAATTCAAGGAGAGGTTAAAGGCCGGTTCTCCTGGAACGCGGGCCAAGCGAAAGTCGCTGTCGCCCATTTCTATTGGGTACCAGAAAACCGTGATCGCGGAAAGGGGTGGGGGAGAAAAAAAAAAGCACAAGGAAGCCGGTAGGAGGCGGGGCCCTAGCGAAGCTGCCCCACCCGCGGGCGGCGGACGCGGAACTTGAGTGAGACGCAGAAGGGAGGTGCGAGGGCGGGAGGCACGCTTGCAGCCAATGGGAAGGGGGGAGGAGTGCGGCCGGGGGCGGGGCCTCCCCGGATTGGTGGGAATTCGGCAGGGGCGGGGCGAAAGTGCGGGACTGAGATTGATTGACCGCGCAGGCCACGGGTGCGGAGCTCTCCGGGCCGCTGCCTGCCACGGCTGGTGAGGTTCCCCGGGTTCCACGCGCGTCGAGCCCACGCTTCGCCGGGGCCCGGCCGCCGGTGCGCCCGGGGCTGTTCTGGGCGCTCGCTCACGGTCTTTGTATCTTTTTCTCCCGCCTCTCTCTCTCTCTGCCTGCCGCGTCCGGCCGCCGCGATGTCTCTGCGCCCTGTTTCCACCTCCCTCCGCCCGCGACGCCCTGTTCGTTGCGGCGGCGGCGGCGGCTGGTCTCGGACGCTGGCCTGAAAGGAAGAAGAGGAGGAAGCGAGGCGCGCCCCCCGGCCCATGCCGCAGCCAGAGGCCCGGCCCAGCCGCTGCGCCCGCGCCGCCGCCCTCGCCGGAGCGCACGAGACCTGCATGGACGGGCATGGGCGTGAGAGCAGCACCTTCCTGCGCCGCCGCCCCCGCCGCCGCCGGGGCTGAGCAGAACCGCCGCCCCGGGCTCTGGCCGACGTCTCCCCCGCCGCTGTTGCTGCTGCTGCTGCTCAGCCTCGGGCTGCTCCACGCAGGTAGGCGCAGGCCGGGTGGGGAGCGGGCCGCGCGGGCTTTGTTCTGGGTTCCGGAACGCCACGGCCCTAGCGGGCGAGCACGGCGCTCACCGTCGCGGGCTCACGGCTCTAACTGGCGCCCCGCCGCCGCGCCGGGTCCTGCCCGCCGCCGCCTCCGGCCTCCGCCCGCGACAGCCGCTTCGCCGATCCCGGCGTGCGGGGGCCGCGTGCAGGACCAACGCTCCGGGGCTTTATTGCTCTCCACAGGGGTGTTTACTGGAGCCGCTGCGGATCGGGTTTCCGCTGCCTTAGCCGCCTGCGAGCGGAGACTAGAGCCTTGTGCTGCTGCTGCTGCTCTACAGCTGCGGGTGGCGGCGAGGCCGGGAATCGCACCGGGTGCAAAGATTTTTTACCCAACTTTGGGGTGGATTCCGAAGGAACTTAAAGTTATCCGGGATTTCTTTCGGTTTTGCCAAGGCCGCTTTGGGAGCAGAGTTTGGCGGATTGAAGAGGTGTTTGAGGCTAGCCTCGTGTTTTCGGTTCCTAGCGGGCTTGACAGATAGATGTGTGCTGCCGTGTGGAGGTCGGCAGGGCTCCTGGCGACGCAGCACTGAGGAATGTGCTCTTCGGATAATAAGCCTGAACCTGAACCTTGTGACATGTGATGCCTACTTTTGTGTTCTTTACAAATAAGTATCATTTCTTTCTAAGACTTTGCCTAGACCATGAATTTCCCTCTAATACAAAAGTCAAAAGAATCATTGTCCTTCTGCTTGAAAACCAAAGCATTACATAGCTTTCCTTGGAGGCCTTTTCCCCCTGTGTTTATGATGACACTCACAACGCTCTGATCACTCAACTGTACTAAAAACTTTTTACTTGTAAAGGCATATCAACCGTGCTAAAATAGCCGGGAGGTCTTTTAAGTAATGGAATAAAGTGACATTGAAGAGACAACTCTTCGAGGTGGTATAACATTTTGACACTGTCACTTGGAAACATGGACTGGTCGCACTAAAAATGTAATAGACAGTTGTGGAATAATTAAGGCTTTAAATTAGTAGCTTTAGAACCTCAGGAAAAAAATGTCTGCCTGTGGTTTCATGGAAACTTTTTGTTAATGTGCCAGTATTCAGGAGTGTTGGGGAGAAAAATCCATTGTGTCAAACTGCGTTTCATGAAAGGGAAGTTGAAATGCTAGGTTGAGAGCTCTGTTCTCTTTGGCAGCTTGGATATTTGTTGCTCTAGGGTCCTGACAGGACTGGGGAGTAGTTCCTGGAGATTTCCTTCCTGCCTTGTGTAAGGCCTAAGAAACTGGACTAAAGCTTTCCAAAATTAAGGTGCTTTGGTGAATTTGGAACACGAGGTTCCTTTCAGAAACTCAATATATGCTCACCCTTAGATTGGACCCAATGGACTTGCAAGACTCGCATTACTGTGAACTTGTTGGAGTGGAGTTCTTTTGAGATAGCTCTTTGAAGACCGGTGCTGTTGAAATGCAGGGGTGGGGGTGGGGGGTTGGAGGGGGTTCTTTTCCAGACCAGGGAACCTAGCAAGTGCTTCTTGCAGATGGACTACCATATGTTTTACGTCTGAGTCCATATCATTTGCCTCGGTGCCCCATATGGCTCTACAGTTCACTCAAATCAGCTTCCTATCTCATTTCCTTTATTATAAACCGGTGACTGTGCTGCAGATTCACGGTAATGGCGTGAAGGAAGCTGTCTTGCATGGTCAGTCTTTTATGTCTGATTCATTAAAAAATGATGAAAGCTCTAGACCACGGATCCTTTAGCACTTACAGTAACCGGCATGAAAATACACCACATCACACCAATTGTAGATGATCTGACCCCAAAATAGAAAAATTTTCTTTGTAAGGGCATCTTTTGAATTCTGCCCTTGGAAAATGGCATTTCTTTATTCTCGTATATGTTTTATTTTATCTTAAGACCATTGCAGTTCCTGAGTGGATATCAAATAGGGGAGTTCTTGCTTACTCATACACTTCATGGCTTCCTTGGCTACATCCTGGAGCGTGTTTCTACTCAGCATTGTCTTGGCATTTTGACAGGAGGCTTACTTTAGCGCTTCTAACAGGCAAAGTGTGCATTGTCATTATAAATTCATGAAGCCTGGATATTTCTGGGTTTATGCTGCAAATTAGTCATTATACAGGAGCCTGCAATGGAGCTAAAAATTCTAACCTCTAAGCATTTTCTTTTCAGTTAGCCCTCCTCCCGCTGATCCTATCTACAGCCAAGGGTTGTTAGGACCCTTATCCAGGGCCAAAGAGCTGCTTTGTGTGTGATTTCTCAAAGTGATCAGCACCTTCCTACTGTAAAGAATGGAACCGAATGAGGGACTGTGGACAAAGGAGCCCACTGGGAATAAGAGTGCTGCGTCTTCTCCCTCTTCAGCACTTACATTCTGTGCTTTTCTCCATGCTTTTCTTACTTTTGATATTTTATGACTATTTGAAATAATTATAAGTAACTGTATGCTCGGATGGATTTTATAGACCATAAAAAGAACAAATAGGCCCCACAAGTTTAGCGGAAAGCTCTGGTGCTGTCATTGTTTCTAGTCCAGGAGCTGTTCATTAGTGAGGGATCTTGGCCCTGCATTTGCTTCCCGTTCTGTGCCTGCTGTGTGTCTGATTTTAAAAGAAGAGTGGTATAATTGTCACCCCACTGTTTGTGTTTTTCAGCTGTCGGTGATGACTGTGTTAGTCAGGAATGTAAAGGAGAATGGCCTTCACGCTAGTTAGTTGTGTACAATCCCACCAGGACAAGGCAAGGTCTTGAGTATGCCTTTCCCTTGACAAACGGCTCAAAGGCTTCTAGAAGAGTGATTTTTTTTTTATTGCTTTTGTTGTTTTGTCTTGTTGTTCACTAAAAGTAGTTGAAAGTGAATAAATCTGGGAGAAAGGAGTCCTGTGAATCGACTTCCTTGGTCAGCGTTGCACTGAACAAGCCTTAAATGGACCAAACACATGAAGGCGATTATTTTATTTTGTTTTTTAAAGTGGTCTAGTGGTTGCTATAAGTCCATAGCTCCAAAATAGTAAAATAATTTTAATCTCCTTTATTCTGGTAAAAGTGACAGTGGAGGCTCAACTGGTCCTTTTCCTTCTCAGGGCCTTTGAAATTTCACAGTGATGACAGATTGTTATCTCCCACACTTCTCTACAACTAAAGCCAAAACAAAAACAGTTTACCATTTAATTAAAATTTTAAAACATCCGTTCTAAATTACCTATCTAAATCAATATAGGGTTTACTACTACATGATGTCTTTTATCAGATGAAGTTTTAGGTATCAGTATCCTAAGGATTAGTGTATCCACATATTGAAATAAATATATATTTAAAAATAACCCACTGATTTTAATTAGGCATAGTGGCATACACCTGTATCCCAACATTCTGGAAGCTGATGCAGAAAGATTGCAAGTTCAAGGTCAGCCTGGGGTACAATTCAATGAGACCTGCCTTGTCTCAGAAAAAAAAACAGAAGTAGGTGCTGGAGAGATTTCTCATCAGTTAAGAGCACTGGCTGCTCTTCCAGAGGACCCCAGTTGGATTCCCAGCATCCACATGATGGCTCAGTCATCTGTAACTCTAGTTCCAAGAGATTCAACACCATCATCTGGCCTCCGAGAGCACTAGGCATGCATATGCACAGGCATGCATGCAAGCAAAACACTCATACACATAATATAATAAACACACACACAGACTAGCTAAAATCAATGAATGACCCAGTGATGATGACGATGCCCCCCCCCCAATACAAAATGTGAGATATTTTATGCCTGGAAAAGCCCACAAAGCTGCTATAACAACTTCCTCATTTTTCAGAAGAAGAAGCTGCTAAAATGTGGAGAAATCAATAAGACTTCTTCCATAGGTTAAATGCCTCTAAGGAATTTCAAGTAACAAATACATGCTACAGTTCATTTTATACAACTTAAGATACATGAGCAATGTTTCTTTCAGTAAATCTATTCTCACTTTTTGAAACAATATAAAATTGATTGGTGCATATGACTGAACTAGTGTTTTTTGTTATTTTTGTCCTTTTCTCTTGTTGCTTTGAGAAGTTTCATGAATTGTTGTATGAGAGACAAGCTGTGACAAAAAAAGACAATTTGGAAATTTCTTTAATGCGGGGCATTAATCCTTGGGTTTTCATTTTAACTTTTTCTTCAGACAGTTAACTGAAGAGGGAAGGGAAGGTGTGTATGTTCACACACACACTGGGAATTCTTGGTTTTATAGCTCTCTGATTCATGTTTTGAAATACAGTTTTGATGTTGCATACTTTTTTAGGGTTGTGTGTGTGTGTGTGTGTGTGTGTGTGTGTGTATGTGTGTGTGTGTGTGTGCTTGTGGTTTGTTTGAGATCTGTGTGACAGACGTGTTGGGAGAACTAAAATTGGATCATGGTCAAGTGAATCACATTTTTTAGCAGTGTGCTTAGATTTTATAGAAGTGAGGGCATTGTGGATGTAGTTTGTTAGTAATGTACCTCAGGAAAGATAGAATGACTTACTGCTTGGATTTTTTTTGCCCTTGATTTTCTTTTTCTTTTTTTTTTTTTTTTTTTTTTAGACAGGGTTTCTCTGTGTAGCTTT